AAAAAAACAAAAAAAAAAAACAGTGAAGTCGAAAACATCTATCAGAATTGTCCTCATAAGGTCCTTTACTGCCATCTAGTGGTTAGAGAAGGGCCTAGAAGTTCGATGTAGCTCCAGAGGGAATTCACATGATTGAAGTAGGGCCTCAGAAATAAGATGGAAGGCCATAAGATGGATAGCTATAGTTTGAATGGGAGGCAGGGGGAGAGCAAGGAAAATTTATGGTTGACAGGGTCTGTGATATTACAAGGACCAGAATTTTGTAAACCCTACATTAAAATTTCCAGTTTCATTGTGACTCTAGAGACCAGAATAACTATGTGCTGAGGGGCATCCATTTGCGAGGCCTGGGCTTTCTTTTTGACCCCACCCTTCTTACCCTCACCCTGAAGGCCATGCAGAAACAAATTTATTCTTGTTCTGCTCATCAGTTTTATCTTTTTTCACCCTCCAGCTCTTTTTTTTTCTTTCTCTAATTATTGCTTACTACTGAGTGATTTATCTGACAGCCTTGTCTCATGCTCCTATTTACTACTCTCAACTTGATGTGAACCTCTGCTTACTTTCTTGCCTGCTGGCCACTTCTAGAAGGCCTACTTTCTCTCACTTCTCAAAAAAAAAATAAAAAAAAAATGCTTATCTTTTCCAACAGATGTAGGAATCTTATGCAACCCTTATTTCCTTTTTGCACCTTGTTTTTGTTGGTTTTGGAGAGAGGGAACCAGTGAGAGAGAGAGAGAGAGAGAAAGAGAGAGAGAGAGAGAAAGAGAGAGAGAGAGAGAACCGGTTTGGCTCAGTGGATGTAGTGTCATTGCGAGGACTGAAGGGTCCCAGGTTCAATTCTGGTCAAGGGCACTACGTTGGTTTATGGGCACATCCCCAGTGGGGGGCGTGCAGGAGATAGCTGATCGATGTTTCTAACTCTCTATCTCCCTTCCTCTCTGTAAAAAAATCAATAAAATATATAAAAAACAAAAAAACAAGAAAAGATTTCTCATTGCAGGCAGACTACTTTTAGTAAGGGTACTACTAACCCATTGCAGCTGCTGCCTCTAATGAAGTACACACCAGAAGGGAAGGATTACTAAATTAGACCAGATATTGCTGAATGGAACCAGTATAACAATGCTGGTTCCTGGAAAAGAATCTGAATGGGTTCCCTTAATTTATGCTAGTTTCTGTTTTGTCTTATAATGATAACAAAATATATATTTTTAAACCTTTCAAACCTAGCCAGGGTGGCTCAGTAATTAAGCATCAACCCATAAGCCAAGAGGTTCACTTGTTCAATTACTGGTCAGGGCACATGCCAGGATTGTGGGTTCAATCTCCAGTTGGGGATGTGCAGGAGGCAGCTGATTAATGATGGTTCCCTCTCATCCATGTTTCCATTCCTCTATCTCTCTCTAGAAAAAAAAACAACGACACACCTTTCTATGTCTGGATTATATGAAGCTAAATCTCTCATTCAAGGGGAATGCTTTGAAGAGGCAATGTATAGGGCATCTTTGTAAATTAATCAGGTTTATCATGGGAAAAAAAACACCGTTATTTGAAGATGAAAATAAAGGTGTTTTGTGTTAAAATAAAAACACTGCAGTGCAAGTTTTCCTCTTTCTTTAAGAAACTGACATCTTATTCGTGAAGTTTGATTTTGTCTTAGAATCTATCACCCTTCTTGGTCCATATCTAAAGGCCTTCTGATTCCTTCTTTCCCACTGCACTTGGGATCTTTTGTTTAACGTATTTTGGAAATCGCCAAAATCTATGTATTTGGTAATCTCAATTCCTGTTTTTATGTTCCCTATTTTCAGTGATATTTTTAGAATCTCGATCTGTTGACATTGTCTCTACTGACCCACAAGTCTGATCACCTCTAGTCCTGTGAGCACCACCTGGCCCAGTGCCTCCTACTTGTAGTGATCCTGTGATTCTCCTTCCTACTAACGCCTACTCCTACTCCACTGGTTTTGAGGACTTCTCCCCATTGACCCCAATCTAAGGATATTGTAATTACCTTAATTTTGATCCCTCTTTGATGGCAGAAAACCCAGTTCCTACCTACTCTTTCCTCTGTTTTCATTTATTTTGTGTCAGTTATTCTTTAAATCCCTTCAACACAGCCTCTGAATCTTGTGTGTGTGTGTGTGTGTGTGTGTGTGTGTGTGTGTGTGTGTAAAAGACACTTAGTTACAAATTGTAGGTGGCAGGAAGAGTTGGTGGGAGCCAAGAGGTCACATTTTGGGCATTTTCTCTTTCTCTTTGTCTTCTTGGGCCTAGACTGTAACCTCCTCTTGGAGGTGCACCTTTGCTGGGACCACCTTTGAGTGCAGGTAGAAGGAACTGCCCAGAGATTTAGTGTTCACCTTAAATAGGTGCTTGTAGTTCTTTTGTATCTCCTCAGGGTTCAGTTTGAGGACACTGACAATTTGCTGTGCATCCTAGGGGCTGTGGAGAGGTTAGAGACTGGGGGCTGCAGACTGGGATCAGGCATGTCCTGGGGCATCAGCTGCTGTCCAGCTGGCTGCTCACTTTTGGTTCAGGATTCTACAAAGGCCCTGCTCATCACTTGTGCTCCATCACTGTGGTCTGGGTCAGGTATGTGGCTGATCTTTGCAGGGAAATCCTTGATGGCAGGTAGCATTCCCCACCCCACCCCCCCCTTCGAAAACAAGGTAGTTCCATGCACAACAGAGGCAAGCTGGGAGTCTCCTTGAGAGTGTGTGTGACCAAAGGTTTTGAGAGGTGATGGATGGCAACCCAGGCATGTAATAATCTCACTACTTAAATGTCTGAGAAGTTTGTCAAAGGTGATTTTTATTTATACACAATTTTAGATTGAACATCAAAGTTAATGCATGGCACATGATACCTCTTTAAAGCCCACTCTAGAATCACCAAACAAAGAACAAAAGCATTCGGCAAATGTTAATTGAACATTGCAGTTTTAAGGGTTGCAGTCTTGTGAAAGCCATGCTCCAGGGTATGCAAGGGATACTATTTCTGTCACCATTTGAATATGATCATATTAGAAGGTTGTCCTAAGTGGATCTTGGGAAAGGATCTGGGGTGTTTATCTAAGGTGTTCCTTTTGATAAATTTTAACTGTGCAGGTGTTGGGACATTTAAGTAGTTGCTATCAAAGAGGCTACTCTATGCAAGCAAGACCAAGGGGAGGCCTAGGACCAAAAGGACCATAAGCTTTAATTTAATTAAAAAATATATATTTTATTAATTTTTTACATAGAGGAAGAGAGAGGGATAGAGAGTTAGAAAGATTGATGAGAGAGAATCATTGATCAGCTGCCTCTGGCATACACCCCCTAGGAATGTGCCCGAAACCAAGGTACATGCCCTTGACCATAAACAAACCTGGGACTCTTGAGTCTAAAAGGCCAGCACTCTATCCACTGAGCCAAACAGGTTTCGGCTTTAATTCAATTTTAAAAATAGATATTTCTTTATTGATATATCAGGGAGGAAGGGAGAGGGATAGAGAGATAGAAACATCAATGATGAGAGAGAATGATTGATTAGCTGCCTCCTGCACGCTCCCTACTGGGGATCGAGTCTACACCTGGGCATGTGCCCTTGGCTGGAATCGAACCTGGGATTCTTCAGTCTGCAGGCCGACACTCTAGCCACTGAGCCAAACCAGCTAGGGACAGAAGCTTTAATTTTAATTTTAAACATACACAAAATGATTTAACTAACTGCCAGAGGTATTACACCACATGAAACATATGTAGTTGCAAATCACACAGCACTTTATTACTTACAAAAGTTTTTGATGCTGCGGGTACAGGCTTAATGGGATCCCAATGGTGTTGTTCTCTGGAGCTCAGCAGCTGGTCAGGTCTGGTCAGGATACAGGGGGCCGGAGTTCCACACCTGAGAGCTTGTTTGCTCCTCCTTTGGGAGGTACTAGCCATTTTTATTTATTTTTATTTATTTTTATTTTGTAGTCTGGCAGGGAGAGGAGCATGGAGCTGTGTCACTTGCCAAACTGACAAAGGGACATGCCTTTGTGGCTGTCTCAACAAGCAAGCATTGTTGGCTGGCCAGAATCCATTTTTAGAGCTTGTTTCTACCCGCAGAAGTTTAGGTGGCTATCAACGAATTATTTCCAGGCATTCTTGTTAATCTTAAACAAGGCGAGGGGCTGTTTGTGGTTGTTTAGGGAGAGTACATTACTCACACATATGGTTCTCCCCAAGTCACTCTGAGTCAGTAATTAAAGTTCAAATTCTTATCCATGGGGTACACATACATCAGGGCAGTAGAGAATGTGTCCTTAATATCACACTTTTAGTTTCAAGAAAGTTAATTCAAACATTTTAAAACCTTGTAATCATTTTTAGACATTTTAAAAGCATTTTAAACATTTCTACATATTACTATAACAGAGGTCCTTCCCACTCTTACTAAGACTGTTTCCCAGAGAACAAAAGGGAAACTATACTGTTCTAGAGCACCTGTTTCCTTTATAGTTTTTCTGTTCAAGCATTTCTTTTGGAGACCTGGATCATTTGACCTCAAACTCAGAGTATACTTGAAGCTCTTTGGAGGTTCAAAGCAGAATCAGCACTATCTCCCAGCTCTGAAGATGCAAGGTTTTGACTGCTCTTCACTGTCTGTTTACACTGGCTATGGAGGGATAGAGTGTGCCTGTACAGGGAAGACCTGGATGCTCTTATTTCCAACATGAAGACTTTATTTATTTATTTTTGTATCAAGATTACTTTAAGTCATTAGCTTTGAGAACCTAGCATAACTCATTGTTTTAGAAGGTATAGGTTTGCAGATTGGTGATTCTTGTTTACCATCAGAGAGTTTTTCATTTGTATTCTGATTCTGATCCTATGACTTATACAGTGTGAAAAGTCATAAAGGTGTCTATTTTAGAGACCAGCATTTCCTTACATTTTAGTATATAAAAGAATACTTATTTAAATAATCAGAATCTAAAAACTATATAGTCTTTGTTATTTGCTATTTGATTCTTAAAGGAATAGTTTTAAAACTTATTAATGGCATAATGAAATCTGACCCTGTCGACAGCCTTGATTAAAGTGGCCCTTCTCACTAGCTCATAAACCTTGTTCCAAAAGCCAGTTCTTAAGCTTTTACAAATACCAGGCTTTGAATACCTAAGCTCTTATGAACCTTTATTTTTTATTTTTATTTAAGCGTGGCACAGGGAACTGCCAAGGGGACAGAGAAGATGAGGGTGTTAGTTACATGGGAAAAATAATAATTCAATTTCTAAATTTTCTATATTTGCTTATAATGTTTCCTTAATTGATACAGGCTCTGTCAAGTCTGTATTACTATTTCCCAGAACAGAACATGTCTAAATATCACTATGCTTGGGAATCATCTTTCCATTAATATGTTTCCATTCAAGGGTTAAATTTTTCTCAAGATTTCAGAGGCAGTTTATAGCATTCATCCAAGAACTGTACATTCATTTGAAATGTTCATATATTATAGTTAATCTAGCTGTCTATAATAATTTTGATTTTCCTTCACAAAAACAACTTTCTCTGGGATTGCATATAATATTATATATTTTGAAATAAAAAGCATTCTGAATAATAGCTTAAATTATGAAGTAGGAATTTTAAATAGATATTACTAAATTTCATTGTATTGAATATGTTAATATATTTTAGCAATTTGTTTTTCAACCAGAAAGAATTAAGATGAAGAAACAGGAAGTCCTTTCAACAGGAAATATTTAACTTTTGAAATGTTAATTGATTTATATTTAGCCATTTCATTTGAAAAAAATAGAAATAATTGTGAGGAGGAGGTGTTTTTGGATTGTTCTGGTACTGTGACTCTTGTTCAGATTCTGGCATTCTTTTGTGAGCATTGCGTATTATTGCTTTTTCAAGTCATCAAGCACATTTTGCTTTGTGATGTTGGTCCATGCGTGAGGGATTTTACCTCTACCTATAAATTTTTGCTGGTATTTTTCTTCTAGGTTTGATCTGAAGTGACAAACAAACCATTTCCAGTATGGCTGGGAGGATGTGTCTGGGGTGATGCTCCATGTGGCATATTCCCCTCCTGCCTGTCGATAGGTCTTATATGGGAATTCACGACCATCATTCAAAATAAAATTACAATCACTTGCTACCGAGCTAGTACAGAACTCAATGGAAAAGTGGTCTGTGTTAATCCATTTCCATCCTCTGATAGCCTCAGGACGGTGGAAAGGAACACTGTGGTCTCCGTCATGGTTAGGGATTGTGTTTGTACAAATTGCTCCACAGAAGGGACACTGTTTCCAGCAGCCACAGAGATGTTCAGAAAGCATTTTCAGAATGTCAGAAACCATTCCTTCTTCAGGCTTACTCAAACACTCCTGTTCTACTCTGATCATTGCAGGATCCAAAGCTTCACTCATGGCTTCTTTGAGAAACTCAATATCTTTTATCTCCTGGTGTTCAATGCTTACCAGATCTTTTCGTGGAAAGTTCAAGTTACTGCCCAAGTCGTCACAGAACAAATCCAACCACTCAGAGGCAGTGCTGCTTTTATCTTTAGCTATTGCTGTGGATTTATGAATAGCTGAGAGGATGGCATTCTTCATGTCAACTACACTTAGTTTTAAAAAATTCTTTATTTTATTACTTCTTTGTTCTGAAAAATATCTTTCAATATGTCTTTGAATATATTTCTTAAAAAATGATTCGGGATTATGAATGTACTCCCAGTAATCATCAAAATTTTCGTTTTCTGCCAGGGAGATAAGAACGTGTTTCTCCAGGTTTGCCCTGTTTCCATTGAATTCTGGGCAGGTAGCTCGCATGTCCCCAGCAATTTTAAGGGCCATTTTTTCCCAAAGCGTGTCGGAGACGGCAGGAGTGAGTTTGTGCCATAGAAAATCAACAAATTCTGTGACTGAGGTTGCTCCTTGACAAGAGATCTTAAAACTCATGAAGAAATCATCTTTCTTGCTTTCCAAATAATTTACAGGATCATTTGCTCTTTTGAATATCCTATGCATCTCCTTAAAACTCTCAGATGCTCTTTGGAATAAACACAAAGATAAGTCAATTTTGTACTTACTTGTAAATGTGTATCTGTCTTCAGTGGGTGCAGATTTCACCCCCTCTTCTATTATTCTCAGTATTTGATGGAAATAACTTGGATTGTAATCACATTGTTGCCCCTTTAAATTTTTAATTTTTTCAGTAAATCTTGAAATAATACAGTCAGTAGTTCTCTCTATGGACTCTTTATCACGTACTTCTAAGTTCTTTAGAATTTCATAAAACCGTTTGTTCACTTTGATATGTATTTTGTAATTGATTTCAAACTTCTTTTTAGACTTTTCCTTCACTCTATTAACCACATCTGTCTCCTTTTTAAAATAGTCCAAAAGAATGTTTTCAGAATCCACATCAATGTTAGGCTCTGTGACTGGAGGGAGAGTTGAGGACACAGCATAGACCCATTTTCCCCAAAGTTGATTGAATTTGATATTCAGCTTTTCATCACTCAATTTTTTATCCTTTACAGTTAAAGCCAATTCTCGACTTCTTTGCAATAGTTCCTTTTCATAACTTGACTTTTGGTTATCCAGTATTTCTTGATTTTTTTTATAACTGATATGTCCCTCGGCTTTATTTTTGCTCTCAAAAATAAGTGCCTCTTTAAGGTGTGTTAGTTTATTTTCAAAACTTGCTTTCCACTGAATCATTATTTCACTCTCTGGATCTTCATTAAAATATTTTTCAAGCTCTTGCTTGATGGCTTTATATTTTTCCGTAACCTGAGCCTCAAGTGTGCTCATTGTCAGTTCCTGGATTTTGCCATTCTTAATCTGCTTGATGTGCTGGTTCTGCAAAGCTAGCACATGACTCCTCAATTCCCAGGTCCAATAGTTATACATAGTTTCCAATTTGGTCATGGCCACGACCTCTCGGGTGTTCCTGAAACTGAAAATAAAGTTCTCATTCAATAGGGCTCTCCACAAATCTTGAACTCGCAGTTTCACATCTGTTATCTTCATGATGCTGCCCCTACACTCCTGTTTGGCAGCCATAAGAATTCTCCTTTTCAGATCCTGGACATTGTGGCTGTAGCGAGGATTGGGAGGGGCCATTGGGGGATTGCCATCCCAGAGGTGAGCAAAGTAGTAGACATGAGTATTAACATCAAATTTAATAATATCACCAAAGCGGGTTACATCTGAGTACTGTTCCTGCTCAGCTGCTGTTGCCGCCATTTCATCTAGTCTCTGCTCCAATCGCCTCCTTCCTTCCATTGTTTGGTCTTTAGCTGTGACTTCCCCCACATTCTGATGGACAAAAACGCAACTTGGGGAGATTTTTACTTGTTTCATCCTCATAAAGGCTTGGACAACTATTTGTAGAATGTCTTGCATTTCTGATGGATTTTCCCCAAAAATATTGATCAGAGTCAAGTTTCCAAGTCCAATGACAAAGGTTGCCAACTCATTATCACGATTGTTGGATTTATTGCTGAGTTCTGGGGCCCGAAGGCCTTCTGTGTCCACAACAAGCACAAAGTCAAAGCCCATTTCCTCTGTGAAAGTGTCCTCGACTTTCAGGAGCTGCATGTAGGCCCCCCGGGTACACCGGCCAGCACTGACAGTGAACTGCAGCCCAAAAAGTGCATTCAGCAGGGTGGACTTCCCTGAGCTCTGTAGGCCAAGGATGCAGAGAACAAACAGCCGTTTGTTGCCAAGTTTCTCAGAGACCTTGTCAAAAACAGCTGCCACCCACTTTACAGGCACATAGGAAGCATCCCCATCCATCAGCTCAATGGGAACACCAGATATCATCAGATCTGCAGCAATCTGGGGAAGGGAGAGATAAAGGGTATTTTTAGTGGGGGAAGCTTCTTCAAGAGCTTCATAGATCTGGCCAACTTCTCTGAGAACTTGCTCAATTCCCAATGTACAGTCACTAATCTCTGTGGAGATAGCGTCTATCTCTTTTTGCCAGCGTTGTAGGTCAGTGCTCTTTGGTGCCTTTTGCTTTTCTGTTTGTATCAGTGACCACAAATTGTTTTTCTTTTCATTCAGTTTTTCCAAGTGTTCTGCAGTCAGGTTGTCCAAAAACACACTCAGCCATTGCAAAAAGTAGTGTGTGGTTTGAGTTTCTGAGTGATTTTGGAGAATTTCAAGGACAGACTGCATCAATTCATTGAGAGGAAAGGCTCTTTTCAACTGTTCATTCCGTATTCTTTGCTTTTCTGTCTCAATCTCACTCTTGTGTTGTTCAATGCTTCGATTCCCCTTTTCACTTAGATGATAGAGTTCTTTGTCCTTTCTACACCAAAGATGCCATAGGTGTCCCTGAAGGGGCATTAAGTTTTCCTTCACCTGAGAAATATTCATATTTCTCAGTAGAGCTATTAGGACCTCTGCATTTTCTTTGGCTTCCTTGCAGTCTCTCTGGTCTTCATCAATAAGGAATCCTTGTTTGCGAGCCATTGGGGTACAGTCCTCTAAGCTGAGAGCAGTGTCCGAGAGCTCCAGCAAGCGTCTGATTGTAGTAACAAGCTCCTCTGTTAATTCTGCTTCATTTCTGTTCCTGAGACCAATCATCACTTTTTGTTTAGAATTATTGCCCATGCTTTTCTCTTTGTTGTCAGCTAACCAGATCAAAGTTCTAGGTGATTGATTCAGATCACGAACAATTTTTCGGTTTTCTTCATTGTCATCAGAAGTTGACATGAGGACAACAATGAGAGAAGAGACCTCTTGCAGGAAGGTGAGTTGCTTCTTATGTTCCTTTGCATCTCCATGAAGATTGGTGAAGGCCACACAGTTGTTAAATCTGTCCTCATCTTCCCCGCCAGGACAGAACCAGCAGATTTCCACCACTCCCCCCATCAAGAGGCAGTCTTTGGTGCTCCCTCTGCAATGGCGGTGGAAAAAGACATCATGTTTACGTTTACTGAGAAGACAGTTCATGATCTGAGATTTGGAAGCAGAGAAGCCATTTCCAACTTTTATAAAGGACACAATGGGGGTAGAGACTCTACACATCTGCATATTCTTGTAACTGATCTTCTCCTCTCTTGGTGATTTCCTTGCTTCCTGCCAGCTCCTTCTAATTTGACTGAGAGACCAGAGAGAGAATTCAATTTGAGAATTGCAGGGATTAGGTATGAGAAGAGGGAGTGCAAACTGGCAAATGGAGAGTTTGGACAAAATATACTGTCTGGCAAAATCATCTGCACAGTGAAGAATTGCCATCTGAATATCCATAGGGTGAATATGGGGCCTAGGGTTAGTATCTGAAGGATTAATGGGAGTATTACTGTCTTCAAACAAGTCTTCATATGGATCAAAAGCCTCATTGTCGTTATTTGTGGCACTTGGATAGACTTGATTCTGTGTGTTGTCTTCATTTCTGAAGACTAGGTATCTCACCCCATAATCCAGCACTTGTAGCTTCTGAAGAAAATATAAGGGAAGCTCCCTTTCAGAGCTGGGTTGAGTGTTGTATACAGAAGTGTTGCTAATCAGATGGAAGATAGCTCTGCTCATTTTTTTGGGATAGTAATGTTCTAGGTCTAGACACTGAAGTAAGTTCAGGAAAGCTGTATGCTCTATGCCTTCCCATTTGCTATTTCCATTATCATATGGATCATGGGATTGTTTCTTTTCATGGAAAATACTTTGTAAGTTTTTTCTTATCTCATCCATTTGCAATGAAGAGATGGTAGCTTCATAATTACCTTCAATGAGCAATCCCAAGTCTTTCTCTAGGTTTTCCCAATCCTGATCTGCTCCAGGTTTGGAGAGGACACTGACAACTTCATTTGACAAAGATTGGCCCATGAGATGCCTTATTAATGCCAAGCGTTGTGTTTTTTCTTTTGGAGGAACAGCCATGACTCCAACGGTAGCTGTCAGACCTGTGAGCACCAGGAATGCCTGAGCTCTGTACATGCAAATATTTTTGAGTTCCTGGTATTTATCTTGGGCAGTTTGCATTTTTTGCAGTAGGAAGTCTAACTCTTCACACCCCAGGAGATACTGAAACTTATTGTTTTCCACATGATACCCTGCACCGGCTGCAATGCACAGTAGCAAGAGCTGTGTGTCTGGCTGCTGTGTTTCTCGGAGGGAGTTCAAGAAGGAGCCAAGAGATGAACTGACCTCATAAGTGGCCTTTCTTTGAGCTTCTTCCACTGTTTCTGCAGACTCAGGTTTGGCCATGGCTTCCATGAGGTCATTCTTGGTTTCCTTTAAGATTTTAATTAATTCAGAAAATTGGAAGATGTTGACATGCTCTTCTGACTCTGGCTGAAAGACCCACTGCATGATGGAATGAGTCTGAGGAAAGTTATTCACTCCGTAGATGTGGGGATCTAAAAGGCTGCGCAACTGAGATTTAATAAATTTAGTTTCATAGGTGGAAGACTTTTTGCAAAAGTCTACAGTGTTTACCAGAAAATTCTGCAGACCCCTATCTTTGAGGCAAATATTAACCCAAGTGTCATAACTTTTCATTTTTTGACTCAACTTTTGCATGAAATTTATCAGTTTTTGAAGCTGCTCTTCAGGATCAGATACCTCCCAAGATTTCACATCCTCTAGGAAAACCCTAGCCTCCTTCACAACACTCAGTAATTCTTCTCCATCCTGGGTCTGGGCAGTGATGCCAGACAGAGCAGTGTAGGTATCTTTCAGTAAGCTAGCTACCTGAAATGGATCCTTAAAATCACTTCTGTGGTTGGAAAGGATGATGTCCCAAATGGGCACCAGCTGAAGTCCCCGGTCGATGATACTCCAGGTTTGATTACTTGCAGTTAGGCCAGCTTTCCAATGGAGAAAGCCATTTGCTTCTGGTGGGCCACCTGTCTGGGCCACAGATAATTCGACTTTGGTTTGGAGATTTTGGAAGGTTGTTCTTTGGCTGGCAGTTTCTGAATGATTGTTTGATGCATCCACACCTGCAGCAACCTTCACTCCAAAGCCACTGTAGCTGCCCCTTATGTAACCATTCAGGGCCTCTGCTGACTGCTGTTTTACTTCTGCCAGCTGCTCACTTCGGAAACCCTCTGATATGGCTTTCCACCAGTAGATTCCTCCCAGGTGCAGAGGGCCCTGGTTGGCATGAGAGCCAAACCTATGGAAGAAAGCTTCAACCCTGTTCCTCATCAAGCGGAGTCTGTCTGGGCCCGCAGGCTGACCCAGAAGGTCTTCAATGCATTTCAGTTCCTGGAGAGCAGCTTTGGAGAACTGGAGCTGATCCATGGAAAAGTGGCAGGAGGCAAGTGGAACATAGCTGAACTTGGTGGAGCAGAAATATGAGTGCTCAGAACGTGATTGTTGGGTTTCCTTGGATTCTGAATGTTTACTGTGGTCCATACCAGCTTCCATGCTAAATCCCCAACCTCCGCCCTTGGCTGAGGCAATTACACTGAAGCCCAGCTTCTCTGTCATCTGGGTGAACTTGGATTCTTCTTGAGAAGATGCAAAATCTCTGGTTTCCATCCGAATGCTGTGCTCAGGGCCAAGGAGTAAGAACTCTTTGGGGACACTGAGTAGCTCCTCTCTCTTCTCTAGAAGGCTGCTGTGGGAGCTGACTTTGTAAATTCCCTGCAGGGCCAGCCCTCCTGATGCCCATCTCACGAGATCTCTGTCTGGGAGGTTTTGCCTGTGAGACAGTGTGCCCTCCATGAGGTTGAGTTGTTCCTGCATGTGTTCCATCACTTCTCTTAAGGATTTTTCAGGAGGTGGCCAGTACTCTTTGGGAATCTCCATTGCCTGCATCAGCTCTGCCTCCTTTTTCCTCACTGCCTCTTCTTGTCGTTGCCTCCCTTCTGATAGCAAGTCTCTTAGCCCCTGCAGTGCCTGTTCGGCCTTCTTTTGTTCTTCCTTTCTCATTTTCACCTGAGACTCCTGTAACTTTGAAAGGCTATTTGAGTTAAGTAGCTTCTCCAGAGCCCTTTTCTCCCAGGGATGTTGTGCCTGGGATTTCAGCTTCTGGAGGTCTTCTTCTTCTAAGTGCTGTAAGGCCTGTGCAGTGGTCACACCTAGATATTCCTTCAGCTTTGGCAACTAGTACTCAACTGCCAGTCCTACTTCTCTCAGCATCTCTTGGAGATCCTGCCCCCTTTGTCCTTCGATAAAGGGCTCATCAGATGTGGAGTCTGCTGACTCCATCACTGTGGAAAGAAAAACACCCAGTTAGCCTCTGCCATGAACTTAGAAGT